GGGTGGATGACCAGTAATAAGGAATCCATAGAAACGATCTTTAAAGAAATCCTCTAGTCTCTTTCCCTTTTCCTCCCAACCATTTTCGGAAGCTTCCATCGCCAAGATGATCACATAATTAGTTTTAGCATTTCTAATATAATAAAAATTGATCCAATCAGATTTTTTATATGATTTAGTATTATTTCATATGTTCTACATGTTCTAATTTTTTATATATAATTTTTTTTTTGTGTTTACCTGTGGCTGGCCAATCGACCAATGGTATCCTTTAATAAACCCTCAGGCTCGCCATAGTTTGGAACGACAAAAGTGTGAATATATTCGAAGGGCGTCATTCCCTTTTCTTCCACATTTTGAGTCATCAACTTGCTTCTGTCATCTTTATCGTTGTGAACAGCGTTCCATTGGCTAATATTGTCTCGAATACGACAGGAAGTGATATAAAACTTGCAAACATGGTTTACTTGTTGGTAGAGGAAGCCAGTGAAATAGAAAAAGAGAAATAAGAGATAGACTCTGGGAAAGAACAGTGGTCCAAGTGGTAAAAGTGCCAAGGATAAGATAGGTGTTAGAGGTGCAACCCACTCAACTGGTGAACTTAGGCGAGACATCTATATTTTATATATATTTATATTCTATTTGGGTGTATTATTATTATTATTATTATTATTATTAGGCTAAAAGTAAAAAAAAAAAAAAAAAAGTAAAGAGATATAAATATATATGTAAGTAAAGTAAAAAAAAAAAAAAAAAAAAAATGATTCAAGAACTGATTTAAATAAAAAGATATATCAGGTTTAAAGTCACTTTTGGGCCAATAATGATCTTTTGACTGAAACCCTAAAATTATAATTCAAATAATTGGGCTGTTTTGTATGTAAGAAAGCGTACGGTGTTTAAAATTGTCTTTTTTTTTTTTGTTAAAGTGGCTGGTTTAACGAATTTCCTCTTTTTTGAATCTCAACCCTATTGATAACTCGTATATGTCATTTTTATATCTTTTTATTATATAAAAAAAAAAAAGAATATCGTCATTTCATTAACTAGAAACAAAAAAAAAAAAAAAGTCTCCTTTTTAAAATATATACGAATGATGGACAAGTATAAAATTGATTTTCTTTTTTAAATCAAATTTGCCATCATCCAATAGCATTAATAGGAAAGCTTAGCATGCCAAGAAAGCGAAAAAAAGCTGATGAAACAAAACTTTTTTTAATATTACATAACATGCTTAAGTTTTGCTTGTGGTATTTCGGCCAAGTTTCAAGTTAATATCATCATCAAATAATTAAGGCAATCATTTTTATATAAAAAAACAAGGAGTTGACTTTAGTCAAACCCTGAACAAAATTAAATCTAATATATGCTAAATGCTCTTATTTTTAGCCAAGAATACAATCTGTTACTATTCTTCCATACTTGTATATTCAAAAAAACATTAGCCATGAAAACCTGCACTCTCTCGTTATCTCTTTCCGTAAGATCAATGATGATGCGATAACATGTACTAAAATGTAAAAAAAAAAAAAATCGCAAACTCCGAAAATAAACGTATTTTGATTGGCCAACATGTTTATTTTATTACATCAATAAAATAAATAAGAGAGAGAAAAAAATACTCTTTTCCTTTCTCTTTCTAATAGAAACAGTAACAAAACGGCTAAAACATAAACTCGATTGGCGTTGATTTATATTCTTTCTGAGAAGAAAAGTGCCATTTGTCATCACAAAAGCGATTGCCCCACTTTAGTTTATACAGATCGAAAGAAGATCTGGGGAAAAAGTAATGAGTAGAAAAAGTCAACTCATTTTAGTACTCCGAATGACGATTTGCTCTCTCCACTTTACTTTTTCCTTTGACATGTCAAACTTATTCTTATTTCTATTATGAAATACTTGGAAAGACTGATTTTGCTTTGATTGTAATGCTTTTAAAACAAGTATAACACATGAATATATAACTTTATGCTTAAATATGATTAAATGTTACTGTTAGCATGCTGGATGTATGCAGTAGCTTTGCTTTGATTTACTGTTCCCGAAAAACTTTAAATCATGCGCAAGAAGGAGAAACCATTGTTTTTTAAAAAACAATGATAGTATTTCTTTACACTACTTTGAAATGAAGAGAATGCTCCTTGCTCACCATCATCAAGTAGGAGCATTGTTTGTTTATCAAAGTGAAAGGTACATCAAAAGAAGAAATATTAAATTCTTCAGTCGTGCCAATTTTGCACACTTGAAATAGAAATCAAAGACTGATTGGCTTATGCTCTTCTCCACGTGATGACGGTTTTTTTTTCTTTTTCACTGTGACTATGATGGAAAAAATTTTCGTCCGGTCCATCCCTTTTCTTTAAACTTATCTTCCTTTTTAACGTCCGGACTGGCACAAGCACGGACAATATACTCATCGCCAAAACAAAAAATCAAATACACTAAAAAAAAAACAAGTTGAAAAATGGACAGTGGATCTTCAGCCCCTCAAGATGCTTATCGTGCAGAAACACCTCAATCTGCACCACCTCAACAGCAAGAACAACAGCAGCAACGCCAGCAACAGCAAGGCGCTTCAGCACAGGAAGATTGCAGTATTCTCTCCCCCACTCTTGCAGACATTCTAAGCGATGATCGTATTTTAAGATTCTATCAATGTGTCAAGGATATCAAGACTCAGCGTGCTCCCAAGCAAACAGCCGCCATGTTCTTCGCTCTCTGTCATGCATTAGGGGACACTGTCTCCTTTCTCAAAGTCCCCAACATGCCCAAAATCATGTTTCGTCAAGAGCAGCAAATCTTTGCTGTCAATGTAGCAGGCACCCAGCATGATGCTGTCCAGCTCTTCCAAAGCAATGGTATGCCAATAGATCCTCTCAAAATGGTATCTGGTGCCTCCAGTAGCACCGTTGCCACTGCAGGCTTACTGCATGACGTTGATTCTTCTCATTCTTCCAATATTTTTTCCGCTTCTGCAACCGATAACTCTCCACACCACCTCCTTCAAGTTGCCTTGGCTTCTGTCACACCAGTGCCTGAACCCACTGCTACCATGACTGCAACCACTTCAAAGAGAAGAGGTAACAACAATGGAAAGGATGGTCCTAAGCGCGCAAAGAAGGCGTCTCCTAGAGATAAAGAATATGCGGTCAGACGTATGTATAAGTTTAATTAAATTTGTAAAAAAAAAAAAAAAAAAAAAAACGTCATGGTATTCATACTCTCTCTATTTACAGGTAATGAGGTCATTCAAGATTTACTTAAGGTGCCCGAACCTGATTTGATGCATCAAGCCAACACTGTCGACGATGAAGTCAAACTCATCATCCAAGGCCACGAAGCCTCCACCCGCTTCGGCGTCCTCGCCCCCCTTCACCGCTTTGGCGCCTTTGCCAACCTCCCCGCCCATTACGACTGTGATTTTGCACCCAAAAACGCCGGCGTCTACTATAACTATGAATACTTCCAGCTCTACCTGGCCTATCGTGACATGGAGGCTGAGCGACAACGACTACAGCAAATGGAGGGCGGCGACCCCCGTCCAATCCTTGTCCAATGCCGTGCCGATATCGAAAAGATCCTTGTGAGCACCAACTGGGAGGCCATTCGTCGTCGTCTCACCATTGGAGAACGTATCTGCCAGGTGTGTGGTGTCGTGGGTCGTGGCTTTCTCTTGCTGAGCAAGCAGGTCTCGGGCCGTAAATTGTTGCATAATTTTAACACGGGCGAATGGGGCGAGTTTATGCGTGAATTCCAACTTGCCGAAAATCAACAACTCTTGGATACTTTACAAAACAAATATTCGCCTGAACGGTTCTATGGTCCCCGTCAAGAGATGGAACCATTACAGATTGCACCACCTGCACCTGTTGCTGTTGCTGTTGTTGAGGAAGAGTTGCCATTACAAATCAATACTGATGATAATACATCGGATGCTGATGTGGTTGCTGTTGTAGGTGCTGCTGTGGGTAGTACTGTGGGTAGTACGACACCTGTAAAATCCGAAGCTACTGAACAACAGATATCGGAAACCACTCAATAACGATTCTTTATTTATTTGGATTTCTTTTTCTTGTCTCATCATCTCTTCTTCTTGCACTGGATTCCCTGTTTTGTTTTTTTTTTCTTTAATAATAATAAAAACCATTCTTTCTATATAAGAACTCAATATCATTTAGACGCATCATGCTGTCAGATATAAAATAATATATCAATTCATTATATCTGTATATAATCATCTCTTCTACACGCGAAAGAGTGAGAGATATTTTTAAGTAATCCAATCTAAATTTAGCATATGACATCAAAAGTGTTTTTTTTTTTAAAAAAAAAAAAAAGGGCGGGTACACGTATTTTCAAGCCCTTTTCTTATAAAAAATCATGGTTTTCAGCACTGGGGGAAAAAAGAACGGTTTTAGAACCTATGCAGGTTCAAAATTATAACCGTTCCAGTGGTAATTTGATGTATAACTGAGAAAAACGGTTTACAGTTAAACTAAACTGTTAACTGAAATAAATTCTTTGACGTAAAATTGTTATTATCGGTTTTGATGTTTGCTTCAACCGAAAACATATTTTCAAGAACTTATCTAAACCGTCCAATAAAATTTTTCTAAACACAAGTAGATTGAATGTAGTTTACGAGATATCGCCATTATTATTAGCAAGAAATAGACATATATTGATTGAAAAGCAATAAAAATATAGACAGATATAATGATCAGATAGAAATACTGAGCGGGTATAATGAACTAAAGTCGGAATTGGAAAAATCAGTTAGCCTAAATGGTTCCAAAGGTGTCATACATTTTTAGACTTACCAGCACATAATAATAATTAATGAATTTTGGATTTACGCAAATAAGAATGGTTAGATTTGAGTATTTCCTTATACCATTGAAATTTACCATTGTATCTCAAGCTTTAGAGCTTGATGCCACAACCTCGTTTCTTGTACCTGAAAGAGGCGGTTGTTGTTTAGTTTTACCAGTATTAAAGTGACTGGTTTTGGGATCGAGAATTGGAAAAGGCGCTCTTCTTAACAGGCGAGAGACACCGTGTAGACTAATCAATAATGCAGACTGTTTATCGCGAGATTGCACGGCTTGACCAACTTTAAATGCAACATAGTCTGGATTGATGCAAATGGCGCTTCAATTGCTATCAACTCTTTTTACTTTACCATGGATCTTCTTTTCCTTCTTTGGATGCACTACCTTTTTGAAACAATATACACAAATTTGCGACGAGTTGTGCTCATTGGTTATACAGGATGCTGCATATCTTCCATGAATCTTCGCTTTCCATGTACCACCGTATCTGTTATACCCTCTAATGGTGCTTCTAACGCCAGTTCCTCTGTCTCCAATCATCATGATGAGCTGCTTTTTGCTCTTCTTATCAGGGTCTGAACCGATGACATACTTCTTTTCTTTTGATGCAATCCTGTCCTTGAACTTCTTGGCTTGGATTTCCTTTGCTAAACT